GAGCAGTGAGGGGAATGGCACCTCCGTACCTTCAGGCTCTGATCAGTCCCTACATCCAAACGAGGGCATTGCGTTCATCCACCTCTGGCCTGCTGGCTCCCCTTCCTCTGCGGAAGCATAGTTCCCGCTCAGCCCAGTCAAAACTGTTCGCTGCTCTGGCACCCCAATGGTGGAACAAGCTCCCTCACGACGCCAGGACAGCGGAGTCACTCACCACCTTCCGGAGACATTTGAAACCCCACCTCTTTAAGGAATACCTGGGATAGGATAAAGTAATCCTTCTACCCCCCCACCCCCCCCCAAAAAAAATAATAAAAAAAATATTAAAAAAATATTGGAAAGTGGTTGTCCCACTGGCTATAGGGTGAATGCACCAATTTGTAAGTCGCTCTGGATAAGAGCGTCTGCTAAATGACGTAAATGTGCCCTTGAGCAAGGCACTTAACCCTAATTGCTCCTGTAAGTCGCTCTGGATAAGAGCGTCTGCTAAATGACTAAAATGTAAATGTAAAAATGTAAGCTGATCCCAGATCTGTGCCTAGCGGCAACTTCTGCCAGCAGTGTAAATCAAGTGGTACTTATCTTAGACCATACAGTACATTTAACTGGTTTTAATATAGATCCTGTGATAAAGCTGTCATATATCTCTCATTATAGCACTCTCTGTGGACTAAGCTGACTGTTATAGATGCAGTCATACAGTATAGTATAGTACATACATCACCAAAAGTATGTGGGCACCTGATCGTCCAACATCTCATTCCAAAATCATGGGCATTAAAATGGAGTTGGACCCACTTTGCTGCTATAACAGTCTCCACTCTTCTGGGAAGGCTTTCCACTAGATGTTGGAACATTGCTGCAGGGACTTGCTTCCATTCAGCCAGAAGAGTATTAGTGAGGTCGGGCACTGATGTTGGGCGATTAGGCCTGGTTCCAATTCATCCCAAAGGTGTTCGATGGGGTTGAGGTCAGGCCTCTGTGCAGGCCAGTCAAGTTCTTCTACACCGAACTCGACAAACCATTTCTGTATGGACCTCGCTTTGTGCACAGAGGCATTGTCATGCTGAAATAAGGAAGGGCCTTCCCCAAACTGTTGCCACAGAATCATCTAGAATGTCATTGTATGCTGTAGCGTTAAGATTTCCCTTCACTGGAACTAAGGGGCCTGAACCATGAAAAACAGCCACAGACCATTATTCCTCCTCCGCTAAACTTTACATTTGGCACTATGCATTCGGCAGGTAGTGTTCTCCTAGCATCCGCCAAACCCAGATTCGTCTGTCGGACTGCCAGATGGTGAAGTGTGATTCATCACTCCAGAGAACGCGTTTCCACTGCTCCAGAGTCCAATGGCGGCGAGCTTTACACCCCTCCAACGGAAGCTTGGCATTGCGCATGGTGATCTTAGGCTTGTGTGTGGCTGCTAGGACATGGAAATCCATTTCATGAAGCTCTAGACGAACAGTTATTGTGCTGACCTTGCTTCCAGAGGCAGTTTGGAACTCGGTAGTGAGTGTTGTAACCGAGGACAGACGATTTTTACGAGCTTCAGCACTCAGCGTTCCCATTCTGTGAGCTTGTGTGGCCTACCACTTCGCGACTGAGCCGTTGTTGCTCCTAGACGTTTCCACTTCACAATAACAGCACATACAGTTGACCGGGGCAGCTCTACCAGGGCAGACATTTGACGAACTGACTTGTTGGAAAAATGTCATCCTATGACGGTGCCACGTTGAAAGTCACTGAGCTCTTCAGTAAGGCCATTCTACTGCCAATGTTTGTCTATGGAGATTGCATGGCTAGGTGCTCGATTTTATACACCTGTCAGCAACGGGTATGGCTGAAGTAGCCGAATCCACTAATTTGAAGGGGTGTCCACATACTTTTGTATATATAGTGTATATTAGATAGATAAGGCCTTGGTGCTTGTTGTGTGGAGGCATGCTCCCTCGACACTGAGTAAATATTGACTCCAGAGTAGATGTGGGAAAGAGAGCAAGGGAAGGATGAAAGAGAGAGAAAGAGAGAGGGAGAGTGAGAGTGAGAGAGAGAAAGGAAGAGGTGTAGTCTTTCTTAATAGCTCCTTTCACTCAGAAGTCTGGTCAAAGTGTACCCTTGCTTTTTTCTCCTTCAGTCTGTTTCTCTCCACATTCCACACTTTCCTCTCCTCTCTCTCTCTTCCTAAAACCTCTTCTCTTCTTACACACGCACACACATGCGCACCATGCACACACTCTCTCTCTCTTTCTGCTTGTGTACTTTTCCATGAATCCCTCTCTTCCTCTATCACATACTTCCCTTTCTCTTCCTGCTGACTCTCTCTCTCTCTCTCTCTCTCTCCTCTCTCTCTCTCTCTCTCTCTCTCTCATTCTCTCACTCTCACTCTCTCACTCACACTCACTCTCTCTCACTCTCTCTCTCTTTCAATCTCTCTAACTCTCAATCTCTCTCTCTCACTCTCTCTCTCTCTCTCTCTCTCACTCCCTCTCTCTCTTTCTCTTTCTCTCAATTCAATTCAATGGGCTTTATTGGCATGGGAAACATGTTTACATTGCCAAAGCAAGTGAAATAGATAATAAACAAAAGTGAACATTACACTCACAAAAGTTCCAAAAGAATAAATAAATTTCAAATGTAAATATACAGTGTATACCCATCTCTCTCCACTCTCTTTCTTTCAGCACCTCTATTTCTACCTCTCTATCTCTATCTCTCTACCTCTGTGATCACTCTCTCAATCTATCTCTCCCTCTACCTCTCAGTGACCTCTCTATCGATCTCTCTCTCTCTACCTCTCTCTACCTCTCTATCTCTATCTCTACCTCTCTGTGACCTCTCTCTCAGGTCTGTCTCCCTCTCCCTGTGTTTGCTATGTCCTGCTCTCCCCCTCTGCCCCCACCCTCCCCCCTGCGTGCAGATTTCTATACACAGTGCCTTATTTCACTACTACTTAACTGAGTCGCTTCCCCTCCCACTCCTCTACTTTTCTCCTCTCCCTCCTTCCTCTATCCCTCTCTCAGTTCCCCCATTGCTTCAATGCAACAAAGTAAACACATGTACACACACGTGATCAGGCTTAAACATAGAATGTTGTGACACACATTCACATAGTACACACACACACAAATATGTAGCCTGGTGAGTGAACCATCACAGGACTGTTATTAATGCCACTGGTACACATGGACACTACCGTCGGCTGCCAACAGCTAAATGTGTTTAACACTGGGAGTATAACTGTATGTGTGTGTGTGTGTGTGTGTGTGTGTGTGTGTGTGTGTGTGTGTGTGTGTGTGTGTGTGTGTGTGTGTGTGTGTGTGTGTGTGTGTGTGTGTGTGTGTGTGTGTGTGTGTGTGTGTGTGTGTGTGTGTGGGTGTGTGTGTGTGCGCGCGTGTGCGTGCGTGGGCGTGGGCGTGGGCGTGGGCGTGGGCGTGTGTGTGTGTGAGATCCAGACCAGATCAGAATGATCATATCTCTCTACCTCAGATAAAGCTCCTCTATGGGGCATACAGTCTGCTATGTATAGCTCTGTCACTCAATGAGCCTGAGAGAGACCGCCTGGCCAACCAAACACTAACCAGGGGTTCCCCCTCATAATACAATACACACAGACACACACACAACACACACAGAAACACACACACAGACACACACAAGATACACACACATAGCTCTTCTCTGATTGTTAAAATCACACAGGACAATCCATCATGATTATGTCATATTGACTGTAGAATGAGATCAGACAGTGATGTCATACATTCCAAGGTTCTTCAGGAAGTATGTCCACACTAGGAGCCAGATGGACCTCCTCCCAGTGAATAGAACTCCATGGATTTGACTGGGACTGAGTGAAACAACATGAACGGTTGGCTCTCTTTTATGACATTCTAGGGTCAAATCCCAGCCAAAGATTGTTAACCCATCTGGTACTATGGGACTGTACCACACACTACAGCTACAGGTCACAGCCATATCACCCACCCCATACACACACACACACACACACTGCAGCTACTATATAGAGAGTAATACAGTCGATAACACTACACTCACAAGACCTGCAAGCCCCAAGGCCAGATCTGGCGTTACATACACACACACACACACACACACACACCACACACACACACACCGCTTTGCTTGTGCAAGCGTGAAGGATATTCCGATCATAACAGTAAATGCCCAGAGCAGTACAAGCAGCCAGACAGTTTCCATATGACTGCCCATACACAACTGACTACTGTACAGCCAGCCTTCCTTTCCCTACCACACATACTGTATCACTATATGGCCATACAGGAATTACCTCCCAGTTAACTACTGGTGTTACTAACTCTATACTCATACAGCAATTACCTCCCAGTTAACTACTGGTGTTACTAACTCTATACTCATACAGGAATTACCTCCCAGTTAACTACTGGTGTTACTAACTCTATACTCATACAGGAATCACCTCCCAGTTAACTACTGGTGTTACTAACTCTATACTCATACAGAAATCACCTCCCAGTTAACTACTGGTGTTACTAACTCTATACTCATACAGGAATTACCTCCCAGTTAACTACTGGTGTTACTAACTCTATACTCATACAGGAATCACCTCCCAGTTAACTACTGGTGTTACTAACTCTATACTCATACAGGAATCACCTCCCAGTTAACTACTGGTGTTACTAACTCTATACTCATACAGGAATCACCTCCCAGTTAACTACTGGTGTTACTAACTCTATACTCATACAGGAATCACCTCCCAGTTAACTACTGGTGTTACTAACTCTACACTCATACAGGAATCACCTCCCAGTTAACTACTGGTGTTACTAACTCTATACTCATACAGGAATCACCTCCCAGTTAACTACTGGTGTTACTAACTCCATACTCATACAGGAATCACCTCGCAGTTAACTACTGGTGTTACTAACTCTACACTCATACAGGAATCAACCACTGAGGCATTTCAAAAGGCATTGGCTCTTACCTGTGAGAAGCACCGACGATACTCGTTCTCTGCTCCCGAGCACCTGTAGTTCTGGGGGGGTAATCTCTGTCCCCCTGTGTCCACCTCGGCCAGGGGGTGGGGGTGCTGCTGATGTTGCAGGGGGTAGATGTTGGGTTGAGGGGGGTCCAGGGTGAGGGGGTTGGGTTGGGGTTGAGGTTGAGGGTTGAAGCCATAGGGGGAACTCTCTCTCTCTGTGCTGCGGGGAGGAGCGGTGAAGAGGGGGGGAGTAGGGGTGAGAGAGAGAGGGGGAGTAGGGGTGAGGCAGAGAGGGGAGGGGAGGAGGGGCGCGTCTACTGATTAGTCTGTCGTGGTTGGGCTGGGAGGGAGAGGGCCTGTGTGAGTGAGGGAGGGTCGAGGGCACTCTCTCTCTTTCTCTCCCTCTCTCCCTCCCTCGCTCCGCGGCAGCTTGTCTCTGTCTGTCCGTCTGTCTGTGACTGTCCGTGTCCCTCTGTCCATTCCTTTCTGGTTTAGCTGTGGCTGTTGTTAGCAATACCTTAGCGATAGGTGACTCCGTACTCTCCTCCTCTGTCTTCCTCTCCTCCTCTCTCCTCTCATGCTCCCTCTCTCCCCTGTTCCCTTTGTGGTTTTTGGCTCCCTCCCTCTCCTTCTCTCCCCTCCTCTTCTCCTCTCCTTCTTTGGGTCTGTCCATTTGGTCAATGTTAACAACAGCTCCCTCCTGCCCCTCAGTCTCTAGTACCAGGGTTGCTATGGTAGCATTGCCGTGCTCGGTGTGGCGGGCCTGCCGGTTCTGCCGGTGTAATGGCAGAGAGAAAGGAACCCTGCCATAACCAAACTGACCCGGACGGATAGAAGAGGACCTAGAGAGAGAGAGAGAGGAAGAGAGAGAGAGAGAGAGAGCTAGAGAGAGGGATAGAGCGAGAGAATAGTCAGAGAGAGATATCATATGAAATATAGATAGAAATAAAGAAAGAAAACTCAAATAACTACAATAAAAAGAAAACAGAACGACAAATAACGAAAAAGCAAAAACCTAATCAAGAAACATCATAACTAACCGCCCCCCCTCCCGACCCCGAATGAGGGGTTAGACGGGAAATATTACTCATAATGACAGAACTCTTATCTGCTCTTAAAATGATTGACATTCTCCACAAGTGGAGCCAACAGCTTACAGCCTACAGTGAGAGTTAGAAGCAGAGCGTGTGAGGGTGAGAGCCTTAGAGTCTATCTGTATAGAGGTCATGATATTGAGCAGAACTAGTGATCTAATTGCATAGCATGAGAGATGGGAATAAAAGTCAAACTCACACTCCCATGACTCACATCAACAGAATGACTCAACTCACACTACCAACGCCTTAACAACAACGTCTTACTTAACATTTACATAACGTCTAAAACAACATTTACACAACATCTACAGTAAAAAGTTTCCTTGCCAACAAGATCATCCAATCATACTCACCTACTAGCAGGCAGAGCCCCCCTATTGGGCAACACTGACCTTCTGCTCCCACTTCCTCCCGCCCTCCCTGTTCCAGGATTGGCTGGCCGGCGGGCGGCCCTTGCTGGTTGGCTGTAGCTGGATGGGGGGGCAGGAAATGAGGGGGAACGGTAAACAGAATCTGGCTCCTGATTAGGTGATGAGAATTCCGTGCGATAGAGGGGAGACGTGGGATTGGAGGACTGCGCTGGCACAGCTCCTGCCCCTCCTCCTATAGGAGTGTCCCGATAGAGAGACAGTCCTGGGTTCTGATTGGATGATGGGAGTGAGGGGGGATAGAAGGGGGCTGGCTGTCTCTCTGTCCCTCCCCCTCCCCCTCCTCCTCCCCCATACTGGGATGGCTGGTTGCTAGAATAATGAGGGGGGTAGAAGGGGCGGATGGCGGAGATGACAGAGCCATGGTTGGGACTCCCGGCCCCCCCTGGGAGGAACGATGAACCCCCCCAGTTTGGAGGAGAGTGGGAGAGGGGAGAAGTTTGGGGACGGGGAGGGGCTTCACACTTCCTGGTTCTCTGTGACACGCCCACTCCGCAGCTCTGAGAACATCCTGACCACTCCCCCCAGGCAGACCACACTCCCTCCGGACTATCGTCCACCTGCCGTGATCTTCTACCCGTCGCCTGGAACACGAACACACACACACAAGCACACATCAGACATATGATAAACCAGCCAGGTCACCCGTGATACAAGTCAGTATTAGACGTCCATCCATGTCTGAGGACGTCGGGGCGTCTGCCTCTGGTGCAAAAGGTTGCATGTTCAAATCAAATCCAGCGATAGAAAGTTGTTTTTGAGATTTTTGTTTTAAGCCTATCCCAAACCTTAACACTTACCTTTACCATTCGGAGTTAATGTCACGATCGTCTTCCAAAGGAGCAGACCAAAGCGCAGCGTGTTGAGCGAACATGATAGACTTTATTAATTAAAGTGCCAAAACCAAAACAATAGACGATTCGTAACGTCCACAGTACCAATGACTGACAAGGAACAAAAACCCACAACACCCAAAGGAAAACATACAGATTAAATATGGCTCCCAATCAGAGACAACCAGCCCACAGCTGACACTCGTTGCCCCTGATTGGGAGTCATTATCTCAAACATAGAAATGAACCCAACAGAAATACCAACATAGAAATACACCCAATGAATAAACACACCCTGGCTCAATATACAGAGTCCCGGAGCCAGAGCGTGACAGTACCCCCCCCTAAAGGCGCGGACTGCGACCGCGCCTCAATAAGGGCCAAACAAGGGAGGGCTGGGTGGGCATACCTCCTCGGCGGTGGCTCTGGCTCCGGCCTTGATCCCCACCTCCTTTCCAACCCCCCAAAGTACCCCTGGTCCTGTCTAGCCCCGTTGGCCGGAGCCGGACTGACGACACGCGCCCCTGGCTTGGTGCGTGGAGGACGAACAGGCCTTACCAGGCTGACGACGCACACCGTAGGCCTGGCGCGTGGAGCAGGGACAGGCCGGACCGGGCTGACGAAGCGCACCCCTGACTTGGTGCGGAGAGCAGGAACGGGCCGGACAGGGCTGACGACGCACACCACTGGCTTGGTGCGGGAAGCTTGGATGGGCCGGACTGGGCTGGGCGACGCGCACCACAGACTTGGTGCAGAGAGCAGGAACGGGCCGGACAGGGCTGACGAAACGCACCACAGACTTGGTGCGGGGAGCAGGAACGGGCCGGACAGGGCTGACGAAACGCACCACAGACTTGGTGCGGGGAGCAGGACTGGGCCGGACAGGGCTGACGACGCACACCGTAGACTTGGTGCGCGGAGCAGGAACAGGCCGGGCAGGGCTGTCGACGCACACCGTAGACTTGGTGCGTGGAGCAGGAACCGGCCGGGCAGGGCTGTCGACGCACACCGTAGACTTGGTGCGTGGAGCAGGAAACAGGCCGGTGCAGGGCTGTCGACGCACACCGTAGACTTGGTGCGTGGAGCAGGAACAGGCCGGGCAGGGCCGTCGACGCACACCGTAGACTTGGTGCGTGGAGCAGGAACCGGCCGGGCAGGGCTGTCGACGCACAACCGTAGACTTGGTGCGTGGAGCAGGAACAGGCCGGGCAGGGCTGTCGACGCACACCGTAGACTTGGTGCGTGGAGCAGGAACCGGCCGGGCAGGGCTGTCGACGCACACCGTAGACTTGGTGCGTGGAGCAGGAACAGGCCGGGCAGGGCTGTCGACGCACACCGTAGACTTGGTGCGTGGAGCAGGGACAGGCCGGACCGGGCTATGGAGACGGATAGGAGACCTGGAGTGAAGAGCTGCCACAACCCGTCCTGGCTGAATGCCTACCTTCACACACTCTGTGTGAGGCATCAGCACAGGACGTACAGGGCTGTGTACCCGTACTGGCATAACAGCACGTGACACTGGCGCAGGATATCCGGGACCGAGGAGAGGCACTGGAGGCCGCGAGCGCTGAGCCGGCACACTCCGTCCTGGCTGCATGCCCACCTTCGCACAACACGTGCGGGGTGCTCGCACAGGACGTACCGGACTATGCCGGACCACTCGCGGCACAGTGCGCATCTCCGCACTCCGCGGAACCTGCCCAGTCTCATGCTGCCATGCCTGAGTACGGGGAGTTGGCTCTGCTCTCCATCCAGGCTCCGCCAACCTGCCTTCTGGCCCCCAAACCCCCGGTGGCCTTCTCTCCTCTTCTCCTATTACGCCCTGTGGCAGCCTCCTGCTGCCCAGTCGCCCATGCCGTGTGCCCCCCCCTAAAAAATCCTTGGGGGTGCCTCTCGTCCGTCCGACGATGGCACTGCTGACGCCGCTGCTCCTCTCCTGCCTGGGTCTCCCCCTTCATAGCCCTCCGGTACCGGACGGCCTCCTCCTCGGTGATCTGCCCCCAACCGAGGAGGACATCCACCAGAGTCACCTCCTGCGTGTGTTCCTGGACACGCTGCTTGGTCGTTGTATGGTGGGTTTTTCTGTCACGATCGTCTTCCAAAGGAGCAGACCAAAGCGCAGCGTGTTGAGCGAACATGATAGACTTTATTAATTAAAGTGCCAAAACCAAAACAATAGACGATTCGTAACGTCCACAGTACCAATGACTGACAAGGAACAAAAACCCACAACACCCAAAGGAAAACATACAGATTAAATATGGCTCCCAATCAGAGACAACCAGCCCACAGCTGACACTCGTTGCCCCTGATTGGGAGTCATTATCTCAAACATAGAAATGAACCCAACAGAAATACCAACATAGAAATACACCCAATGAATAAACACACCCTGGCTCAATATACAGAGTCCCGGAGCCAGAGCGTGACAGTTAATGCCTAACCTTAAGATTTCTGAGTTAATGCCTAAACTTAACCTTAAACACTTTGAAATTTGACGTTTATAACAACTTTGAAATTTGACGTTTGAGAAACATGGATGAACGTCTAATTCTGACATGAGACTGTGAGAGCTAGTTGGATAAACATGTAGTAGTAAACATGTAACAAACATATTCAAGTATTTCCTAGACAGGCCTCTGTAGTTATGTTGGCCCCTGCCTGAGCAAATCTGCCTTCAATTGGTGTCAAAGTTTCAGTGGCAGAATCCCTGGATGTTGTTCAGGGGGCTAGGAAAGGGAAGACGTCTAGGCTAAGTTCACTTATGCTGGCAGTAGCATTAAAGCAGTTTTATGAACTGAGGAACAAAATCATCAACTGTTTGGAATATGGATTGATGGCCTTGTGGAAGGGCTGTGGCACGGCCAGCTCTGGCCTGGTATGCTGAACACAGTGTGGTCTGTGCGCGTGTGTAACAGGCCAGGATTTGATGTGTTCCTCTGTGGCTCTGTCTAAATGTTTCTCATTTCATAACTCAGAGCTGTGTGTGTATGTGTATGTGTATGTGTATGTGTATGTGTATGTGTGTGTGTGTGTGTGTGTGTGTGTGTGTGTGTGTGTGTGTGTGTGTGTGTGTGTGTGTGTGTGTGTGTGTGTGTGTGTGTGCCAGTGGACCATTGGCCTGGTTGGCAGAACAGCTAGAGAAAGACCTGAACAAAAGTTTCCATTCAGCAATAACCAAAACATGAGGCTGCACTCCACCACTCTGAGAGAAAGAGTGTACATGCCTGTCCCTCTGTGTGTGTCTGTATGTGTTTCTGAGCGTGTCCAGGGATCCATTAGGTCAAATAACAGCCACACATGTCTCTGTCTCTGTGTCAGGGGACCACTCCACCGCCAGGGGACATGGGTAATGAGTGACATCACAAAAACACAGCTGCCACAGAGCCGAGACCATCACTGACTCACAACCACTGACCCGGCACCAGAACTGACCACTAGTGCACACACAGTGAGATGGTGAACCACTCACTACGGGCTTTCATGGGCTAATCCACCAGGACCCTAAACTACGATTACAGACACTAATCGCCTCTAATCACCACCATCACTATGGTAAAACCATTACTCACCTTTTTCTTCTCAGCCTTGGTCAGAGAGGATGTGACTGCCACAAAACCCCACAGCACATAAAGCCTGAGAGAGGAGGAGTGAAGAGAGAGAAGAGGAGATAAAAAGATGTGGGGGATAGAGAGAGGAAGAGTGGAGAGTGGTTGAGTAAACAGAACCAAATATTATGAGTTCCAATGGAATTAATCCTGGTGCTTACATATCTTTACTTACAGAGGATGTACTACCAGGATGCAATGTATATTCTCATATCCTAAGGCTATCAAAATGCCTCAGTAGCTTCATAAATTATATAATTTAATAGTCAACACTATGGGGGGGTTCACATACTTCTCTTTCCCTAATAGTCCAGAGCCTGTCTAGTAGTTGTTTAATAAACAGTCTAGCATGCGTAAAAGCACCGTGCATAATGTGTTTTCTTTAATTATAGGACATACTGTAAAACGAACTCCCAGCAGTTCAGTTAAAATTATTTCGAATGTTCCAGATACGTTACTATGTTAGAGGAGCACACCATGCTTCGTTTTTTCCCAGCGCTGCGTGTGAGATCAAGAACTTTCTTTGACCGGGCGGTTCAGCAGCGGTTCAGCGGCATCTCAGTCAATCTGACCGCGCCGAGAAGGTGCAACCAAACTAATGGGTCCAAACATCAGCCGTGTTTTTCCTCCCAACTGTCCAGACCCTGTGGCTTTTAAACACACAAGCCCACTTCCAAACGCATACACTCGCGATCCCAAATCATCATGTACATTTGTTTTAATAGTTTGAGACTTGGAGAGAGGGGCCTCAGGCTTTGGGTTTGGTTTATGTTGGCCACATGATTATAGGTTCCTGTAAATGGCTTTTATATAGCTACAAACTCAGGACGCTGATGCATGTGCACTGGGCTAGAGTATATCATTTTAGATGCACCACCACAATTATTGTGTGAACTGTGAAGCCACACCACAATCCCATAACATCACAAATCCGCAGGCCACATGTGACCGCTGTGACTGGTGCAGTTTCGCCAGTGTGTGCACCGCCGCGGGCTCCCCTCCTACTGAAACCCTCCCCACAGTCCCCAGGCCCACACTAGACTAAACAATTATCCCAAAACCACAGACAAAGGTCCCGCACAGCCTGACACAACAGACCAGCTCAGC